CTGTAAACACCTATGTATAGGTGTCTACATTAGTATGAAGCAAGCTATATATAACTCGACTTTGTCAAAGTTGACCATAAGAGTAACACCCTTTTGCTGATTCTCACTGGGCAGATAAAGTAGCTATAAGTAGTTTACCAAAATGCTTATTCATTATTCTCATGCAATTGTGTGGCATGTCAGATAACTAACAGTGATACAGAATGTAGGGACATGTGGATTCATGACTTTCTTTAAGGTATTTATACAAATTAAATCTAAAGCAACAATCCACCGTCCATAATTTAAGAAAAGGATATAAAATGTATAAATGAATAAAAACTTTCAGGATCAAGTGACACTTAACTGGAAAGTAGGGAAACCAGGTCATGGTTATGTAATCAGGTAGTTTTCTAGATAAAAGCAGAGTCATGTTTAGAGTAAGAAAAGATGGAAGAAGAGTTCTCAGTTGCTGAAAGGAAGATCTTGTCCAATAGTCTGTCATGAGAGAAGACAGAAGTAGCAGCGATGATGTCCCAAATGTCACTTATCTACTCCCAGATAGTGCCAGGTGAATTGAATCATGAATGAAGAACCCTGTTTATCACCGGCAAAAAAACTTCTTGTCTTTCTTACAAAGGTGATATCTTGAGACAGAGATATTTGAGACTTTCCCCACTGACTTTTTTTTTTTTTGCTGAATGTACACTAGATTTTTCCCAGTTTTGTTTAGTTTATACCAATGCAAATGAGAATCAAACAACATTGTTGGACAGAAGCTGACCAATTGGAAAAAAACTGAGTGATCCAGGTATATGTTCACACATTGATAAACATTTGGTAATGACACTTCAGTTTTGGCCAGCAATCCATTGGAAGTAATCTATGTCCTGTCAAACCTTCAATAAGCAGGATACATGAAGATATTGAGTGAATTCAAGATGAATCAACAGAATTGGTAATTAACAATCTGGAGATTCTATAGACAATTTTCTCAGATTTTTATAGTGGATCTCAGCATGAAATATGTGATGGTTAATTTTTCTTCCACAGCTCTTGTCATAGGAGCAGAAAGAATTTTGTGCTGCTAACAGAAAATGAATGTCTGTGGACTGCAATAAACAAAATGAAGACTTGATTAGAAAATGACTGGCCAATATTTATTGATGCATATATGTACAAGATGCGGGGGTATGGAGAATGGTCAACCTCAAGTCAGCTTGAAGGTGATTGGATCTCCCTTTTGTTGGGATGTCTACCAAACATATCCAAACTCAGTGAGTGGGAAGTGAGAAGAGAACGATTATCTCCTTTCCAAAAGTGGGGGTCATCAAATTAACACATGACCAGAAACCCTTTTTGGTTTCCTTTTGCATTATGGGAAAATGAAATTCTTTATTTTTTTATTATTATTCTATTTCTTACTTTATTTTCATTCTCCCACATGCAGAGAATTTTCTTGAAACCAATAACAATGACTCAAATTTCTGCAAAGCAATCATAGTTATAGATAGTTAGTTATAGATTTATGGTTATGACCTAAGATAAAAATCCAATCTCCTCAAAGAAAGAAGTATGACATCTAAAGAAAACATGATAGATTGAAAGCAATGTCAAGGTTATGTCAACAGTAGTTATTGATCAATCAGGTGTTATCCCCCATGAATACATTCCTACTGATCAGATGATAAATAAGAAGTTCACCAGTTGAGAGACAAACTTCACCTTAAGATGCAGTATGAATATGGATACAGTTTAGAGCTGTTACCATTTTTTGTAGAAAAATTACTGCTTGTTGAAAAGATATATTTATTGTGAAAGACTGTATAGTGATAGTATAGTAGACACATGGAACTTTTCTTGAACAGGAGTTAAAAATGAAATTACAAGCAATAATATACATTTACTAATAGGCACTTTATTGCCTTAGCAAACAAGATAGGAAGAGGTAAATGGATGTGTGTATATAGGGATGTTCTTATTCGCATGTATAAAGTTCTATTGAAGATCTTGGGAGACTTACATTTAAGAAGAATTCCTTGTTGGTTTGCTAGCATTATCAGCTTAGGGCTTTGTATGTTGTGTTATGTTCCAAGATGTCCCCTAGAGGGGAAACAAGACTTGATATCCTATGGGAAAAAAGAGAAAGAAAAGAACTTTTGTGCACTTTTGTTTATACTGCCTTTTAGAAGTGCCATCTAGTGGTTCCTTAGCAGCCAAGTGGAGAAAAGGATCTTGTTTTGAAAAGTGAGAGGAACATTTTGATAAGTGTGATCAATACCAAAGGAAATACTTTGAAGGAAACTAAAGCATCATTGATCTAGGAAGGCAATTCTTTACATAGCTGTATACTTTCCAGACATAGCTCATAAGCAATTACAACTGAAATAGCAAAAGAAGCAGCCGAAATAAAAAATGTAGCAGTTGCTCAAATTCTTTCAGATTTGAATAACATTTAATGTTTCTATTAATTTCCAATGAAATTTATGAATAATGGTTCTAATTTTCTTTTCCTTTTCAGGTATTCATGGGAAGGTACTCAGGTTTGCAACCATTTGTACATCAGCTAAGCAATACTTGTCCACTCAGTACAATCTTCATAATTTATATGGCTTAACTGAGACAATGGTCAGCTATAAGTAAGTTATTGTTTACTTTTCTATTGAAGTAGAACTCTGGCAATAAATGAAAGCATTAAAATCTGTTATTATTAGAACCACATTTCTGTTGCTTCTTCTTTGAGAAGATTGTCCAGCATTCACTGCCATATAGGAGGACAGATAACATGTAATAGTTCAGTACTATTTTCCAATTGTTAATACTCTACTTAGCTTTCGAAATGTATCTTTCGCCATCCCAATGTGTCTTCAGATTTCAGTGTTGCACTTTCTGTACTCTGTTAAAACACTTCCTAGATGTTTAAATCTTTTTACTTGTTTTATTTTGGTATCTTCAATTTGTAATTTGCATCTTGGGCTCATCCTTTTGCTAACAACCATACATTCTGTCTTCTTGCAGTTGATGTTTAATCCTTTCTTCTCATTTTTCTTCACTACCTTCTGTAGGAGGTTTTGTAGTTTTCTTTCTGTGTCTGCTATCAATATGGTGTCATCTGCACATCTTATGTTGTTAATATTGTGGACGCCAATAATGAATCCTGGTAGGATTTCTACTCTCAGAATCACCTTGTTGTATAGGTTGATTAGTATGGTGACTTACAACCCTTTCTATTTTTGTATATCTACTGAACTCATTTTCTATCTGTATGCAGGTGATTTTGTACTAGTATAGGTTCTTGATTATTTTAATATCCTTCCCAAATATGTTAAGGCTGCTGAACAGTTCCAACAGATCCTTGTGGCGTACTTTATTGAACACTTTTTTGTAATCTATAAAACACAGTTACATGTCTTTTTGCATTTCTATTGCTCTTTCTGATAATATTCTGAGCATAAATGTCATGTTCCTTATTCTAGTGTCTTTGACAAACCCACACTGTTCTTGTCCTATTCTTTTTTTTATATGACATTAGACTGATTGTCTGATGGAGTTCATATTTGTTTGCACTTGGCTTCTTAGGCAGTGCTATGAAAATAGATCTATTTAGGTCTTTCAGTATATCACCTATGTTATAGATTTCAATAATCTTGTCTATGCCAAAATCATCTAAGGCTGCCAGCATCCCTATTGCAATTCTGTTTGACCCTGCTGCTTTGTTTTTGTTCAATTTGGCCAGTGCTAATTCCCTTCAGATTTTAATATTTCCTGTCCATCCATATTTCTGTGTATTGCTGGTTGTTTTCATTCATTGTGGAAGAGTTCTCCGATATATTCATTCCATCTCTGAAATATTTTTTCTTTCTTTAATATCAGTGTCCCATACTTGGATTTTATGCATCCTCTCTTGATGTGCATATTTTTTGTCCTGTCAGTTCCCTTATTCTTTTATGCATATCTGCTTTATCTGTGATTCTCATTCTTTATATTTCTGCACATTTTTCATTGAGCCATTCCTCTTTAACCTGTTTGCATTTGTTCCTTATTTCTTTGTGTCATGTTTTATATTATGCTTCATGTTTTGGCATTGTTTTTTTGTTTCCTTTACAACATGTTGAGAATTCCATCTGTCATTCATTCATTTTTTTTTTTTTTATCAATTATCCTTTGGGATGATTTTGTTTGTTGATATTACTAAAGCTTCTCTTAATATGTCCCACTTCAAGTTTCCATTTTTGTTTTGTCCCTTCTATCTGCTTTTCAAACTGTCCATATATATCTCCTTTAGATTTGGGTTGCTCAAGAGTCTGTCATATTTCAATTTGGGTTCTGCCTTAGGTCTCTTTAATTTTGGTAGTTTCACTCTAAGTTTACATATTACTGGAAGGTGGTTGCTTCCACAGTTGGCACTTGGATACGTATTTCACTGTGTAAAACTGTATTCTTGAATCTCTTGTTGCTCATTATGTAGTCGATTGGGTTTTTGTTTCTTCTCCTGGGCTTCTCCATGTCCATATTCATCTTGGGTGTTCTCGAAATCAGGTGTTGGCTACTGTCTGGTCATTTGTCAATCCATTTTTCTCTGCATTCATTATGGGTTCCTGCTCTGAATTTGCCAACTATTTCACCATCCCTCTCATTGGCTACTTCATTCAGGTCTCCCATGACAATTATGATTTCTTGCAGTTTGCATCAAGTCTTTGTATTGTCTAGTATAGAGTTTTATAAATTTTGGCTGCTGAACTTTGTAGTGGACCGTGGCTGTGATGTTGTTGATAGAAGTAGAACACATGTGGGGTTAAGATTTTCCTGCTAGCCGGTCCAACTACATGAGAAAGTTGGACTTTAATTAAGTTCAAAGAAGGCAAAGAAAAACAAACACAAGACCGATAAATATATGCATACAAATATATGTATTAATAACAAGTTACATGGACAGTTACAATGGACAGAGTGTGTGTGTGAATATTATATATATGTGTGTGTGTGTGTGTGTGAGTGTTCGTACGTACGTGTATTGTGCTTAGCGTGTTCCCAGCATTTGGGAAACGCTATCTCTCTGAGCGTTTACATCTGCGAGGTGATAAGGCTGAAAGCCTGAGGAAAAAGAGAGGAAGAGGTGAAGGGTCAGCGACTATTTATAGCCAGAGAAGAGAGACCCCTGGTGAAAGGGTTAATGAACTAAAGGAGAATTTAACTCCAACAACTTGTAACTTTCCAGCAAAAAAGTTTAAATTGATCATACAAGAATCATTAAGATATCCAAAATTTAAAAGTTCATGCAATTAGCCATTGTATTAAAAATATATTTTCTTAAAAAAGATTTTAGACTAAATATTGTTATTTTATGATTGTATTTAAATATAGTTAATTCTCTCAGTCCTGTGTTGTGTTTACCAAATAAATGTAAGTGACATTAATAGTACCTCCAATGCCTTATTGAAAATAAAAAATATACATGGCTAGGAAGAAGTCAAAAGAATAGAAATGAAGGTTTTATTTTATAGAACAAAAACATGCTAACAACATATAGAAATCTGTTACATGCCTTCTCTCTGACTCTGAAAAGGAAAACTAGCAAATCTTATAAGTCTGTCCTGACCCACAAATCTGGTATGTCATATCTGGAAAGCATCTTCTCTTCATGGAGTCTGCCTCAAAACTGTCTACTGTCTAGACTGTGTTTCACTGATGGCCCATTAAAGGTCACATGACTGGCTGAGCATGGTGCATATTGATTAAAGAAGAGAAAGGAAAGTTAATCCAACACTTGTAATTATTTGGAAAAGATATTAAAATCATTTAGAACATCTACTGGAAACAATGTTCCCACATACAGTTAGAAAATGAATTGAACAAGTACATAAAAATGAAAAGTGGTGTAAGACAAGGATGTGTCTTCTCACCAGACTTATTCAACCTTAACAGTGTGATGATGCTAAGAGAACTATAAGTCCTACCAGGATTTATTATTCATAGTCAAAATCTTTACAACATAAGATATGCAGATAACACTATGTTGATAGCAGACAGAAATAAAATGGCAGGCACTCCTATACAAGGTAGCAAAATAAGTGGGAAGAAAGAACTAACAATCAATGGTAAGAAGATAGAATGTATGGTTGTTAACAAAAGGGACAGCCCAATATGCAAAGTACACATTGGAGATGTCAAAATGAAGCAAGTAAAGAAATTTAACTATTTAAGAAATGTTATAACAATATCTGGGACATATAATGTGGAAAGTGGACTTGAAGAATTTAACACTCAGATGACATATTGAAAACAAAAGGAGCAGTAGGAAGCATTGAGTAATTTTCTTAAAGAACTTGTGAATGTCAGAACAGGGACTCAGAGGAAAAGACAAATATTTTTCATAATGACAGTTTAAGTTCACAGACAATAAAATAAACTATTATCTTAGGAAGATCTACTCCAGCCTTCCAGTTCAATAGACTTAATTTGGTTTATTGGGTCACTTTCTTAGAACAAGACATTTTAAAAGCAGAGAAGACATCAGTTCAGCATTACCAGTATTGATGAACTGCTCTGTAATATCAATCTTCCTATATAGCAATGGATGCTGAACCTTTTCCTCTCAGGTGAAGTGAAGACATGAGGCAACAATGATGTGGCTCTAGAGAAGTATGCTGGGAATATCATGAACAGTACATGTGAGTTATGAGGAAGTGTTGAGAAACAAAATAGACACTTTTGCTTAGGATCAGAAAGAGCTAGTTGAAATTTCTGAAGCACATAATGAAGAAAGAGGGCTTGGAGAATTTGACACTCACAAGACATACTGAAGGAAAGAGGGAAATAGGAGGCAAACTACCAAATGTTTGTGTAAATGGATGGCAGAACATAGTCTGGGAGGGATAGTAAGGTGATAATTACTGCTTGCTTAGACCTACAAAGGATAGGAATCTGTGGAGAGCTATGATCATCTACGTTCTGAAGTGCCACAGTACATAAAAGAAGAAGAATTCAAATCTCATTTGAATGGCACAGTTTTGTTAAAACTAGTTTCAGAAATTTGTTTAAATTTCAGGCATCTCAAAGAATCCTTTGCAAACCTTATATATATATATATATATATATATATATATATATATATATATAAATATATATAAATTACCATTTGACAAGACATCAGAAGTGTTGAAACAAAATGGCTATTTTTGTAGTGCTGTTATAACATGCTTATGTTTTAATTTTTGAATAAATATTATTTGCTCTACTTTGTATTGAGCATGTTTTTTAAAAATGGTGGTTTTGGTTATTGGAATTTTATTCCACCTATATTAACCCTGTATTTGTATATATATATATATATATTACAATGAATCATTCATACAAAAAGTAAATTAGTAGAGTTAATGATATAAAATGGTGAAATCACTTTGCTAACTAAATTTTAAAAATGCATTAACCCACTAAGCACTCGATAAATATTATGATTCTTGTTTTTTAAAATTATAAACTGTATTAGGTCTTCCTTAAATATGCAAGTACTTTTAACGGGTTCTCCAGTCATCATCAGGCATGGAAACTATTTTCTTTTTGGTAAAATTCAGGTAGCATCTGAGACGAAAAATATAATGCAATTCAAAATATGTTTTTTTTTTTAAATGTGTCATTGATAACAAATACAAACTTGTGAAGCATTCAGTCGCAATGCTAAGGATGAATTTTTGAAAATATATTTTTACTAATATGGCAATTTAAGAACTTTTTTGTTGTAAAATTTAATTAGCGAAGTGATTTTGCCATTTTATATCATTTACTTTACTAATTAACTTTTTATATGAATGATGCACTGTAATATAAATTAAACTGCACCACATATTTGATATATATACATATATATAAGTAATATAGGTAAAATGTTTGTCACTTATTGATTGATGTTACCTTCAGCATCCTGACCCCAGAGTTTTGTAGGCAGACCCGTCCTTCCACTTGTCAGGGGATATCAGCAATTGACTGCTTATACTTCTCAATTTTTTTTATATGCACTCTTCATTAGTGCAAGTTTGTTTTTATCATAGTGTATGTGTGCATTTGCATGTGTGCTCCCATGCACCTGCCTGCACAGGTGTGAATATGTGTAGAATATCATGATTATTTGTCCTTTTCCTTGTTTGTTTTTTCATTTTACACTCACTCCTTAAACTTTTTTCTGTTTTTTTCTTTTCTCTTTTCTTTCAGTTGTTGCCATTTGATTTCTGTTTTTTCTAGAAAGGCTGTCATTGTTAATTTTTGAGTTTTTCTAGTCTTTTCTTGAATTAGAAAAATTGTATTTTATTTTTTACATAAATAATTAATTTTAATGCTTAAATAATAAGGTAAATATTTATATATGTCTTCACTTGGGCATTACTTAGTTTTCTTATCTGATTTGGTGGTATCTTAAGTATTATTAGGGTATTAATTGTAGGGGCTTATGTTTATAATTAAATTTTTATTTATTATTGTTTGAATTTGTATCCATATGCCTATATTTATATGTTTATACACATGTACATACACACACACATATATACATGAATATACATATATAGATATACATGTGGACATACATACACACACACATATATTTATTTATTGTCTATATTATTTAATGAAACATGCATTAATTATATATATATATATATATATATATGTATTATTGAATTTGAATATATATCTGTCTATATTTGAGATGAGGTATTATAAGGTATTTACATTATTCGGACTATTGTCCTCATCTTTGTTGCCATATTTATTACAACGTTTTAGCCATTGTATGCTCTGGCCTTCTTCAGGTGGTCCTTGAGGACACAATGCACAGTGAATAATTGATTGAATATATATATTTTTTTTTTTTTTTTTGAATTTGTAGGTCTGATGAATTGGATCATGATTACGATTCCAATGTAATAAATTATAACCATGGAATATTAGTGTCTGAGCCTGTTATATATATATATATATATAATAATTGGCTTTGTAAATGTTCTTTCTCAGTGCCATGTGACTTCATAGGCAACCATGGCTATCCAAAGTTTCCTTTTATTTTATATTTGGATACTATGCATTACTTTTACTGTCTTCATGGTTTTTGAATTCAGAGATACCATACTTGACTGTTTGTCAATCATGGCTGAATAACACATACACACACACACTTTGAGTATTTATAGATTCTGTTATGATAATTACAATAATGTTTTATAATTTTTTTTATTCTAATAAAAATAAAATAAAATTCTTATTTAGAGTTTTAGCTAAAATCTGGAATAAGCGGCCATTCCTGATTTCACGTTCGACCTTCTCAGGCAGTGGGCATTATGGTGGACATTGGACTGGAGACAACCGAGCCATTGCAACTGATATGAAAGCTTCTATCGCTGGTATGTTATTAACAGTTTGTGACTGTAATGTAGAATTCAGGAAAATAATTAGTATCATCAAGTTCATATTATTCCTTATTTTTGTTGCTTTTTATCAAAATATTGTATCTTCTGACCTTCCATTTGTGTCTGTTGTATTTTGGAATGTTGAACCTTGTTTTGAGGGGTAAGTGCATTTCCTCTTTCTCTACACATTGCATCGCATGCCTCTTCTAAATTTCTGAACTGTCCTCCTTTCATCCATTCCTTGAGACATTAACCTTTTAGTGATAAAAATTTAAATATATATGATATATATTAACCATTTCCAAACTGAATTTATTTCTAAATTTTACTAGTTTTCAGGTAACACAAATCTAAAGGCAATTTGTGATCTATGTTTACACAAGATAATCCTTCTATCAGGGCTTGTGCATACTACCCCCTAACCCACTCACTGGGGTGGGAGAAACCTAATTGTGGGCCCCTGGAGAGTGCTTTGTAACCCTTGCTACCTTATCAACATTTGCTTTTTTTTACATACATTTATATATATATTACAAATTAAACTAAGCACAACTGACTATTAAAGGATGAAAGAAAAATTTTTTGCAGATTTTGATGTCATTCTGTTTTTTTTTACATCCAAATCTTTGAATTTGTTTTGTTCATGCTAAATCTTGAAAAAACACTTTATAAAATTGCCAAACTTTTATCCATAATGTTGAATATGTTACAATTATTCAACTTTTTCACAAGAAAAATCTCAAGTTGATATTAAAAATTGCCACAAAACATTATTGATTTATTTAAGAAGGACTGATTTATTATATGTCTCTAATTTGTATTTAGATACACTATTTATTTTCAATTTTTTTAGTTGAATTATTCACCTATTTTGCATATAATCCATTATTGTACATGATACTTAATATTTATTTTTTATATTAATACTACCTTATGAAAATTGAGGGGCCCTGTGTCATAAATTTAATAGAGGGGGCATATCATAGATTGGGAGTATGACCCTTGCCCTGGTCCTGCCTACTATATCATAGAATTATGCACAACCTATATGATAAAAACATTATTTTTACTCATGAATGTGTGCTTTAGCCATTTCCAGGGAAATTAAATGAAATAAACTATCCATATCATGTAGCTAGTCTGTTTAGGAAAGAGTTGAAATAACTTAGGGACAAGTTCAACAACATGCAGGCACATGTATTTTAGTCATACAAACCATGATTGCTCAAGACCAGTCATTCATTTTATTGTTGTAACAGTGTAAAAAATTACACAAGAGACTTTTTTGTTTAATCAATAATAATATAAATGGCATCTTTTACAATTAAGAATAATTCCTTGCAAGAATGGAAAGAAAACTTGCTTCTAACTTAATTGAAGCATAGTCTGACCAACATAAAAATTCATAGCATATTGTTGACATGAAGTCCATACATGGAACATTAATTTAATCTTAAAACATGTCCCATGTGAAGTACATTAGCATATACAATGTAGTTTGAGAGCAGGAGAGTAAAATTCTGACTCACCTGAGTTTTTCTTAATTTTGGTCTTAATGGGAAAGTAACAAATTTCTGTCTTACCATCTTTCTCTGTCCACATCACTTACATTTCTTTACAGTCTGACTTTCTCCTCCACTTTCTTCCTTTAGGTTGACTGCATGTTTGTATGAATACTAACAACCATCAAAAAGGAGAGAGCCTGTGGAATAACACAGTAATTCCACCTACATTTTACGCGCACGCGAATTTTTCTCCCTGCCTTCCACACTTGTGCGTGTGTGCACGCACGCGCCCGCGGATTGCACCCCTTCCTCTCTCATTAAGCTAGTTGTAGCAGTAAACAGCCATTTTTTGGATGGAGTGAGGAAGGTCGCTTGCTAGCTGCTCCTGATAAGTTTAAAATCAGAATTTGAATTTTTTCCCGCACGTTTTCCTGACGTCACAAATGTCCAGCGTTTCCAACTCAGTTGCTTCCCGATCTTCAAGCTAGACGGACAACTCATTTATTCCGTGCCTCTAACCCATACGTGGGCCGGAATATCTTACTCTTAACTAACCAAAACTTCAACATGTCGACCTCACACTTTTCCAAGACTCATTCTCGTCTTAATGTAACCCGCATGTTGAACCTTCTCCGTTTTCAACTAGAAAATGTCGAGTTTCTATGACACCGTCATCAATAGATTTTTCCAAGACTTATCCCCGTCTTGATGCAACAGCTTGTTGAACCTTTTCTCCATTTTCAACTAGAAAATGTCGAGTTCCTACGACACCGTTGTCAATATATATTTTTCCAAGACTCAACCTCGTCTTGATGCAAACAACTTTCGAACTTTCCTCTATTCACTACCAGAGTTCTACAACATGGTTGCTCTCACACCATTCCAAGACTCAACCTCGTCTTGATGCAAACAACTCTGAATTCTCCTCAATGAAAGTTGATAATCTGTTCATACACCTTTGAACCTTCTAACTACTTTGAACCAGTACCTAAAAAAATATTACATACACTCCCACTATCAAAGTTCACAGTGAGTACTTTTCCTATTTGTGTACACATGCACCTTTCGTTTAACAAGTCATTTTTCCAGAACTTTCTTTCTGATGAAACTTTTTCCCGCCTTAGCCATCTTGGTTTTCTGTTTTGGTGCGGAACACTTTTACTAATGGTCTCAACTAACGAGACAACTTACTTGTTCTAATGTAATAAATATTTCATATGTTTTGCAACCAGACGCCTTTTGTCATTTAATCCAGGCTATCTTCTTATATTGTTATTTATGCATGTGTTGAATGACCCCTCTTCCTCACTGAGTTCACTCACTTAATATTTCTACTTTGTTTGTGGATTCGGTAGTTTTGTGTAGTGTCTGGCATGCTACCGGGTCCACAACAAGCCCCTCCCTGTCTTGATTATTCCTTTATAACCAGCACCTTACCCACAATCTCACACTGATAGTTGGCAGGTGGTCACCACCACTAGTATTTAATCCTTCCCCTTATAACACAGTTTCTCAGCTCATTCACCTTATCTCTTGGTTCTTGATAGGTAAGTTGTTTTTTAAATTACATGCACGATAAATTTTATATGCAATAACCATTTCCTGCTAGTAATTATTTCATTAATTTCTCACAATTAACAAGCACTCTTTCTTGATTTTCAATGCACTTCCAAAGTAAAATCATTTACAATGCATTTCTACCATAAAATTAAGCACAGTACTTTCCTATATTAAAATCATTAACAATCAATGTAAATGCATTGATAAAGCATTATCATTGCATTTACATTATATGTAGAGTTTGCCCTCTTCTCTCAGCCTTACTGACATTAAATTCTGACCACTAATAATCCTGTTATTCCTATTTTTCAATATATTTCTATGCAATATCTGTAATCTATCAGTAATGTTTACTTTATTGACTGATCAGTGATAAGGCACTTCCTGATTTTCAATGCACAAAAAACACAAACAGAAATTGTATCCTGAATCTTGCTTGGACAGGGTTTAAATAAAAAAAAAAAAAGTAGCAAAATTTTACTTAATCATCAAATTTTTTCTCTTGCCACCAGAAATATTTATTATGTATGTGCAAAAGTTTCCAGTGAAAAACTGAATTTTAACTAATACATTCAAACTCTGGCTTTAAAATAACATGCTGGGAACTTTTGCATTTGGTTGCTTTGTTTTCTCTTGTTATTTGACCCATAATTCATAGGGCTACTTTTTTTTTTTAATCATTTCATTGTTATAATAACAAGAGGTTTACTAGTTCTTAAGATTAAATTATAAAATGAAACTTGAGTCACATCCATAGGAACCGTGGTGAACTGTTTCTATATGTCTACTTATTTTCATGCTACTGGGATTGCACTTTGTCATAAAAGTCTAGCTCGCCTACACTAAGTTTATGCCCAATTTGCATTGATATTGATTACTGAGTAGTGTGTATGCTATGTTTTGCTACTTTTTAACCTTCACTGGCTCAGGAAATTTCCTATTTCAGCTTTTGTCTGGTCTCAAGTTTTTAGAAACAGAAAACATATAGATCTCATTATAGACACAAAATTTCGACTAAGTACCCTCTAGTCATCATCAGGTGTCCACTGAATTACTGATATGGGATACCTGTTGATTATTATGGTATTTTGTCCCTATGATGTCAGTTATGTTTTGTTCCAGCGGCCGATAGTAAAATGTTGTGGTCAACTTTTAAATGAAATTCCCGCTTTCCAAAATTTCGCAATTCACTAAGATATTCACCGACTGTTGAACATAATATATTAATATACAGTGCTGTTCGATAAAAGTGACTCACCTAATTTTTTTTACTAAATATTCTCTTCTCCGATGAAACGAAAGTTGAGCTAAATTCAAAGGATAAGCAATCTAAAATCTGAAGAAGAAGCTTTGAAAGCTCTTTGAAGTTAGCAGTAAGTACTCTCAAGCATTCATTCAGTATAATGTTCTGGGGATGCTTTTCTTTTCATGGAACTGGTTTCTTAAAACCTATTGAAAAGACCCCCAGGAGCAAGCAGTACAAGAGAATTTTAGAATCTTGTCGGCTCCCTTCTGCTAAAAGGGTGCAAATCGACCCCACCAAGCTCATTTTTAAGCAGGATAATGCTCCCTGTGACAAATCAAAATTGATGAAGGAATACTTTGATGAGAAGCAGGTGAGTGTTATGACATGGCTGCCCCAATCTCCTGACCTCAACCACATAGAAAACTTATGGAGCATGTTGCTCAACTGCTTTCTTGAGAGCCTGTACTTTATAATGCTTGGTGGAGTCACTTTTATCGAACAGCACTGTACTTGTCTTATATCGAACTATTGTCCTCATCTTGTTTCATATAGATATCATTATAGACACAATGTTTTGGCTAAGTACCCTCTAGTCTTCATCAGGTTTCCATTGAATTACTGATATGGGATACCTGTTGATTACTGTGTTATTTTGTCTCTATGATATCAGTTATGTTTCATTCCTGTTCAATTGATCCTTCACTACTTGATATTATTAAGTATGAGTAAATCTTTTCAGTGGAAAATACATATTGAAACTCTAGCCTTAGAAAATGCTCTGTAACTTTTGCATTTGGTTGTTTTGTTTCTTGTTTTCTCTTGTTATTTGACCCATAATGCCCAAGTTGTATTGATATTTATAACAGTAGATTATATGCTCTATTTTGCTACTTTTAACCCTCACCTGCTCAGAAAGTTTTCTATTCCAGCCCCTGTTTGGTCCCATGTTTTTTAAACTAGCGAGGGTCAACCAGTAACAAAAAACATATGAGATTAAATGTAAGGTTTTGTTTCTTTTCAGATATGATTAACTTCAACATTTTTGGAATTCCAATGATTGGTGCTGATATTTGTGGCTTCCATTTGAACACATCCCGGGTGCTGTGCCAACGTTGGTATCAGCTTGGAGCATTCTATCCTTTTTCTAGAAGTCATAACTCTTTACATCTAAAAGTATGTATCCTGTACACACAAATTCTTTATTTCCTATTAATATCTGCTTATTTTAGATGTAGTCATTTTTTAAAATATTTAAATGCATGTGAATTTTTCTTTATTTTGGTTCATAGTTTCTAAGATTAATTTAGATAATGTCTGAAATTTTCAGCATTTTTGAAGATAGAATAAAATCCATCCAAAAGTAGTAAAAGTTACATTTATTTATCAGCAACACAATCATCATTGTTATCGTAATCTTTACCTATGGCATGATCAGGGTTTTTAGAACATCACAGATGATCAGCTTCTTTTGTCTGTCCCTTTTCCTTGCAGTTCTTTGAGAGTCACTGATGCTCAAAGCTATCCACTCTTTGATATTGTACTTCCACAACTTCTTATGTCCACCTCTCTTCATGCTCTTCTATGGTGAGATTCAAATTTATAAGAACAGATCCTCTCTTCTTTTACATCCTAATTTTTCATCTTTAAATTAGGAACTGTTTTTTTTTTTATATCCCTAAATTTTTTGCTAATGTATATAAAGACCCATGGAATTTAAAGACTGGTTCTGTGAACTTATATAACTTTAATAAATGATCCATATGAACCATTGCAAACCTCTGAATCCCATTATAACCTCATGGTACCTCATATTATTCTCTTTGTAATGTATCTGATCAGGTGATATGCCTTGTAGCATTTCAGTTTTCATGTCCTGATAACCTTGTGATGGTCATCTTGTGAGCTTGGTGGCTTTGTTGATCTTTTGGTTGACCTCATTATTGGTGACTTAACCATTGTAAAAGATGCCTATTATTTTCTGGCAGGTTTTACACACATGAAACTACTAACATGATGCGTATATCATTATTAACAATGGTCAGTGTCTATATGACACTGTTTTCTTTTATCCTCTCTTATTCCTTAAAAGAATTCAGGATGCTGAATAAGATCAATTCTGATAACGCTAAACTGATTTCTTCTCAGCTTTTAAAAGTTTTGTTCTAAGAAAGTGATCCAGTAACCCAAAGAAATTTGAAGTTATTAAATCTATTGAAGGGGAGGCTTATATATATATATATATATATATATATATATATATATATATATTTCTCAATTAAATCAGGATTATTAATTAATCCAAGATTATTCAATAATTATTTTACTGTTTTTTTGAAAGTGTTTCTTGTAAGTTTGTTTTTCTTTTGGAGATCTTTAAAGTTTCTAAGCCCTTATGTCTAGAATCTGTTTTCTATTTATTTATTTATTTATTTTTCTGATTCTGTACTGCCTTATGAATTTCAAGGATCAAGACCCAGCAGCATTTGGAAAGGCATTTGCTGAATCTACTCGGAAAGCCTATCTCACCAGATATTCTCTGTTGCCTTATCTCTACACCCTATTCTATAGAAGTCATGTGAATGGCTCTACAGTTGTCAGACCCTTGTTTTATGAGTAAGTATTTCCATATATTCTTTCAAAAAGTTAACTATAATGAAAATATATACAGAGGATGTAAATGCTATATGTTTCTGATCATCAAAGTCAAGCAATGCTAAATTAGATTAATATTATACTTGATGGGAGTCTGATTCAGAACATCAAGTTCTGTAGGTGACTTCTGATCTTGTGCAAGACTATTTATAGCTGAGTAGATAATCCTTTAGCCTTATGCTTATGTGAGACTAGCAGGGATACTTGGTGTTGGCTGGGCAAAAAAATAACTTCAAATGCAGCAATACAGGAAAAAATATAACCTTTAACATATTTTTTCCTTTACAAATAGAAAAATTTGTATTATTTAAAAAATAGCCATTACTGAATATATATTCAGATGCCTAAAATGATGTCCCTGAGTTTGACAAGGCTTCTGGGCATACAATGTTGGTACTTTTCCTATTGTGTACAAGTATGAAAAGGTTTTTTAGGGATCTATCTCTAGAATAATCAACATAGAATTGATCATAGGAAAAGCATGGAGAGGTCAATTTGAAGCTATGTATCTTATCCTTGTACCTTGTTAATGGTCATGGCAAATCTCAGCCTCATTAGGAATTTAAGTTGTTTGAATTTAAAGGTCAAGTCTGATAGAATTATGAAGTTCCTGGGAATGAATACATCTTCCTTTTTGTCTACTCCAGGAAAGATGATGACAAGTGGGAGACACTGCTTGATATCTTAGTGAGTGCCATTGCACAAATCTTTAGAGAAGCATAATGGATAACACAACTTTTAGTTGAAGCCTGTGTGGAGGAACATTGGGCAGCTCAAGAGAGTTGAGGAATTCAAGTTCTGAAATGTCCAGATTTGTGTCAGGGGACCTGTGCATCTGAATTTAACCTATGAATCTGTTGCATTAGCTTTGAGTTTATTTCTTTAACTGTATCATTCTTTGACACAAGAATATAGAACCACTGGTAGTTTCTGTAATTTGGAACTTTTCATTTACATTCAAAACAGTTGAAAAAATTCAAGTTTAATCATAAACATTTGAAATTTTTTGTTTAACATTTTTTTTCAATATTGCGCAATGTTTTACAAACAAAACAAAAAAAAATTTTAAGGTCATCTTAGTTCTTTCATTTTATTGAAAAAAGCTTTTACGTCTTAAATTGACCTTGAGTGATCTTCATTGACTTTAGAGGTCATTGCCTCCTATCCTATCATCTTTTTTTGTCCAAATTACCCCCACAACCCAATTTACATCCACAAATGTAAGTATTTGGCTTCAATACAAATCATAAAGTCTACAAACTAATTCTACCTCCAATGACCTCTGACCTCAGAGTTTGAATTTGACCACATTTGCTTAGTATTTGCATGATTAGAAAATACTTTTGTACTTCATAGCAAACCCAATAACTCAGTCTATTTTAGCAGAAATTACTTCATTTGATCCCAAATCACACACTGTGCTCTTTGATTGCCTTGGAATTCCAACAGCTTATGTTATTAATAATGAGGAAAGAGGAATGATGAAAGATGTATTGGAAAGTTTAACCCTTACAGGTTTAGGAAAGTTGGTTCTCTGTGTCGCACCAGAAAGCCTGAGTCCATTCTTCAAATCTATAAATCAGCCATCCACCCTTGCATGGAATACTGCTGTCATATATGGTCTGGAGCCTCCACTGTTCGTTTTAAGGTTCTCAACAAATCTCAGAGACGGATATGCAAAGTGGTTGGCCCTGATATAGCATCTCGTTTACAGTCGCTCTCTCACAGACATGCTTTCAGGTCCCTCTGTCTTTTCTACAAATACTTTCACAGTAACTGCTCCGACAAGCTACTTTCGCTAGTTCCCAAACTGCATGAATTTAAACGTGCTACTAAGTTGGCATCTGAGTCCCTCCCTTTCACTGTTGAAATGGTTAAATGTAGCCATCTCTTTTACTCCAATACCTTCATGTCTTGCACTTCCTGCCTGTGGAACTCCCTTCCTCTTACTTGCTTCCCTGATAGCTATAATCTCCAACTATTCAAATGCAATGTCAGTCAACATCTCCAGATGCCTTGATCTATTCTCCATCCTTCTCTTCATCCTTTCCTCTATCACGCCTCTTTACTCTTGCTCCCATTCTCTGTAACCCCTTGCTTGGGGTGAAAAGCTTAAAAAAAAAAGAAAAAGGTATATAGAGAGCAAGAGAGATTAGGGGAAGTCAGTGAGCCCCCTACCTGATAAAGTTGTGTGAATAAATAGGGGAATGGGAGGTGGAGGCCTTATCAAAAATAGAAAAACTGCTAAGGGCCACAAAGAATAGGGAGTTTTGGAGAACCATGATCACTTATCTCCTAAAGAGATGTGGCAAATAGAAGAACAAAAAAATTATTCCTGGTAAGTAAATTTTGTTCTTTGTTCTTTGCATGTCATGTTTATTCATCAAAATTTGAACAATTAACATACAGTTCTGCATGCAAAAAAAATGAGACCCTGGAACTTTCTATTTGGCCATAATGTCCAAACACACACACACACACACTTTGGCATAGATTGAGGTCAAATGTGTTGAAACTTTGCTATATCAATAAATATGAGCATGAGGAAGTACAGAAGAATTGCCATGGATTTTTTAACTAACTTTTTATCGAAAACATCAAGTATTCTGTTTTAAACTATTCAAAAATTGTTTTTTTATACCTTAAACTTCTATCCATTATTTTCTGATCCATCAAAAATGTAAAAGAGACCAAAGCAAAAATACAATTTCATAAAACAGGAATGTATTTCATCTGATATATTTTTTCTCATATAAAATTAATCATGTGACTATCATTTTTTGCCTAACCTCTACAAAATAGTAGCTGAAATGTCTTAGAAATAGCAAAAAAACTAAAAAAACAAACCTTACTTCATAATCACAAATCTGTAGTTCATAGGTGACAAATCCATGTGACACAAAACTGTCCTTCATACAACACAGAGAACAAAAACCAATGTTATTCACTTGCCTCACCCTAGTGTTGTTTTAACATGGAATGCCCATGTGCATCGACATGGACCAAAGCCAATCCTCATGACCATTGTTATGTTAGCATCAGTATTTCATCAACCCTCCTTCCTTAGTGCAACATGGGAGATGTTGCCCCAGAGTTGGAATCCCCAGGATCAGGAATCCCTCAAAGTTTTTTTTTTCTGTGATTTGTCTGAAGTCAGAAGAAACATGGCAGAGAGATAATTGGTTTGATCCCAGCCAAAGGTCGAGAACAGAAAGCCAAGTGACTCATTGCTCAAGGCTCTCGACTTATATGTAAGCTGGGAGGTGGAACAAAGAATTTGCATGATGTTCTCTATGTAAAAAGAGTAGTCACATGAGGCCTCTTTTTTTCACTGATGCATAACACAAGTAACATGCTGTCATTTGTTTTGATGAGGTAAGTAGCCATTTTCTTCATTACAAAAATACATATTTCTATTTTCTTTATACGTTTTTTTTTCATTCTTATTTAGATTCCCACTTGACAAAAAAACTTATGCACTGGACACACAATTCCTGTGGGGCCCAGCTTTGATGTTTTCACCTGTTTTGGTTCCAGTAAGTTTTTATTTTAGAATTCTTTTTCTTAAAATAAGCAAACAGTTCTCACGAGGAAAATCACATTTAGTACTGCAGACTTATTTCAAATTTCAACTCCTTTTTTTTTTATCATCATCTTCTTCATCATCCTTTGACCTTCCTATGGTTGATTGGAACACCATTGACAATCCCTTTCCACACTGTTTGGTCCTGCATTGCTGTCCCCAATGCCCAACCCTGAATCCTGAGCTATGGTGTCTCGGAAAGTCAATTTTCATGACACTTGCAGAAGGATGCCATAGGAGTAAGGATGAGACAATTTCCCTGTCTGCTCAGTGGCAGTGGCCGGCAAACTGTAATCATTTTTGTTTGAGCTAAAGTGAGATTGGTCTCAGTTCTCCATAAATTGTGTTAAGTGTTGCATGGGATCTCCAACTGATATTCTGGATTTTTCTAAATAGATTTGTATATGTTCCATCCAGTCATCTTTCAAGACAAGCAGATAGAATTTATTATTCATTATTATTTATTACTTTTTATTACCCTATAATGGATGTACATTGTACAGCTAGTGTAATGAATATCAGCATGATAAATGAAAAAGTCAAATTCTAGGCTGTTCTGTTGTGTTCACTAAGGATCTTTGACTTGTCTTTTCTCTCCATGGCTATGGGTTAAATAGCAGGATAGATTAGGCTTTTTAGTTTCAAATGACAACCAATCTGAGAGAAAGAAGACTCTGAATTAAAAAATGTGGAGAAGGCAACAGGAAACCACTCCATTATCTTTTTCAAGAAAGCATGACAATTCACAGATAATAAATAAAAATCAGTGGGAAGTCATAATCGTTTGTATCCTGAAGGAACATGGCATTAAATTAAAAATAGTGTTGTCAGTTATATGATGGCGTTTTAATGTTGGGTATATGCTTTTGCCATTATGGTTTTATTATTTTGAGCAAGAGGAAAATCCTTAGATGGAAGCTGCAAATTGAATATGTCAATACCAAGCAAGTACAGAAGTTCAAATATCTGCTAAGTGTTTAAACAGAGAATGGAAAATGCAACATCAAATTCTGAACACATGTTGGACTAGTGAAAGAATCATTCCAAAAGCTAATCAAATTTCTGAAAAACAGAAAAAATTAGTTAGAATCAAAGAAAAGAATGCTGCATTTGCTATGTGATATCTATCCTCTTATATGGCACAGATAAGGAGAAAACTGGATGCAAGAGTAATGTGGTTCTACAGAAGGATACTGAGAATTCCATGGATAGAGTAAGCAATAAGAAAGTCTTAAAGAAAATGGCAACAAAAAGAACGCTTCTGCTCAGAATCAGGAAGAGACAACTGAAATTCCTTGAATACAGAATGAGGAAAGAGTGTGTTGTAACCTAGAAAGGGTTACTGAATGAAGAATAACCAAAACGCAGGTTGGAAATAAAATGGTAATCTTTATAACTGTGTTGGAATGTGTCACAAAAAAATAAATGATTTTGTCTCTTGCTCTCCCAGAAGTCGTAGCGACGGACACAGTCTCCACTTCTGAGACTGAAAAACACTGCCCTCCTTCTCATTCCAGCCCTTTACATAGAGCTTGGTAACTCACCTATGCAAACACCAACAAGCCAGCTACCAATCACAGTTCCCGCGCCTGCCCACCTCCACTCACTTTGGGGGTGTCAAGTTGACCGACCAACTCATTACACGCCCCCCTGATCTTAAGATCACAAAGCTTCTCAGTTTGAGAGATGGTTGCGTCTGTCTAGTGACTGCGTCTGCATATATACAACTTGCACGCTTGACATATTGGGATAACCACACATGCACGAACTCGTTTGCTCCGAGGTGGCAGATTTCCAGATTCATCCCGTGTCTCGCTGTCATGATCGCACACCATGCAACTCGGGGCAGGCCTCTTCTGCTGGGCACTCCTTCTGAGCGGGATGACAGGGTCCTCATCCTTGGATGAACTCTCATCCATTGAGCTACCATCCACCTCTGGACAGCTGGCCACGTTGACGTCCGTAGGTAGAGTACTGATGTTTGAGGTAGAACTCAGTGGATCCGACTTTAAATACACCACTCGCGCACCATCTTCAGAGTCACTTTCATCATCTGATGACGGCTTTAACCCTACAACTGGCTGCAAGTCTTTAACATGACGAGGCACGCCATCAACCCGCACTGACTGCGGGCTGATAATCTCGGTAACATGCCCCATTCTAAGCTTGTCCGTACACTTGCTGTGCGGGGTCTTAACCCACACTACGTCACCAAGCCAAAGTGCTCCAGATGTTCCTTAACCCTCGTTGAAGAGGCCACGTTTTCATTGACGTAAACATCGTCAATGTAGGATGACATTGCCCTTCGAATTTCCTCATCCTGTGACATGACCACATTCATAATCGCTGACATGATTTTTGGAGCCACATTAAGACCAAATCCCAATCGAGTGAGGCAATATCTCTGTCCTTTTACCATGACAGTCTGAAAGGGCCAGAGTGATCGGTGGACTCGGACTTGGAGGTAGGCCCTTCTTAAATCGAGGGTGGCCACATTGCTCCCTTGCTCTCGCCATTCCCGCAATTTCTGGGCACAAACGTCAGTGTTGGCTGTATATGCATCTACAAAGGTATTCAATTCCCTGTAGTCCATGACTGGTCTCACTTTCTTCTTATTCTCTTGCACTATTGCCATCAAAGGAATCTGTCCTCAAGGCAGCCCTAACTCCTCCTCGGGGTACGGTGCAAGCCAGCCGTTTGCTATCCAAAGCTGCAATTCATTTTCGTATTCGCTCCTGATATGCTCTGGAACCGGGTACTCGGCTATTTTATTTTTCAGTGGCATGGGCGTTCATCCACCCACCCACTTCCATGTTGCGGTCCATATGACCATATGGTCGAAAATTGCACTGAAGTCAGGTTCATTAATCCTCAAGGTAGCACAGATGGGCGGATCAGAAAACTCGATTTCACCCGCCTCTGTGATGCGTACGCCGCCCAGCTCCTTAATAATGTCCATCCCAATGAGCAGATCAAAACCTAATAACGCGCTGTCCATGACCAACACGCTGACTGTAACGGGGTTACCGTTGTTGATAGTGAGTTTGATGTTTCCAACTCCCGGCTTCTGAGAGCTTTTCCATCAGCCGTTAGTATGTCCATCTTTTGTCTGCTCCACTGTCGACAAATCGTGAGTGACCGAGAGCAACTCGAATCTACTAAAGCGGTACGCATTATTCCATTGATGTGCACCTTAATCACAGGGAGCGCCTCTTTCATGCTCAGTGCGGAGAAGAGACCAGCTGACGTCGCATCCCCCATTTCCCGGACACTTAGAGGCAATGTGACCTACTTTATGACATTGGAAACATCGTAGATCGAAATGTGCCTTTCGCGCCGACCCGCTGCGCATTGCTTTGCGTTGATAGCGGCAGTCTTTGGCAAAATGATTCGGCCCAGAGCACCGATAGCAGGTGACATCGCCATGTCGACGGATGGCTGGGGTCGGATCCTCTTTGACTTCAATTGGCTGAACGACTGCGGCCACTGGTTCATCAGCCTCTTTTTCGTCAATCATGATAGCACGGGCTCTGGTCAACAATTGATTGAGTGTCATGTCTTCCATTCTAGATGATGCACGGAGTATCTGCTTAACATGACTAGGCAATCCAGACACGAAGGCACAGGTCATCCATTCTTCAGGAAGCGGTGCGATCGGTACGGCGAGCTTCTTTAAATCCGCCAAATATACGTCTACTGTCTTGCCAGGTCGTAGACGCCGCACCTGGAATTGGTCATAGGCCTCGAACCAGTCAGTTCCAAATGCGGTTAGTAGAGCGTGCTTTATTTGCTCAATGTCACTTTTCTGTTCTTTGCTCAGCTGCCTATACACAGCAAGGGCACCACCTTTCAATCGCAGTGGAAGAATCCATTCAATCTTCGTGATCTCGCATAATTCGCAGACCAGTTCCCCCTTTTCGATCCATTCAACCACAGACTGTCCACTCGTATCACCACCGAATTCGGAGATCAGTTTTATGTTGAACGGTCTTTCCGCCATCTTGCTAGAGACAAAGTAAATGCCGAAATAGCTTGTGTTGGAATGTGTCACGAAAAAATAAATGATTTCGTCTCTTTCTCTCCTGCTGTCATAGCGACGGACACAGTCTCCACTTCTGAGACTGAAAAACACTGCCCTCCTTCTCATTCCAGCCCTTTACATAGAGCTTGGTAACTCACCTATGCAAAACACCAACAAGCCAGCTACCAATCACAGTTCCCGCGCCTGCCCACCTCCACTCACTTTGGGGGTGTCAAGTTGACCGACCAACTCATTACAATAACATCAACAAAATACAAATACTCACCAGTGGTGTGAAGTAGGTAAACCACTGCTAGTGGTGGACTACTTAGACAGCATATTACCCCCCATCCCCCACCCACTTACAACAATAGTGTCCAATGTATTTATGAGGATTGGTACATACCCATTAGTATTCATAGGTGCGTTATATAACAGAGGGCTTGGAAAACGTAACCCCCACAGTGTATATTGAGGGCAAGAGAGATTAGAGAAAAGCAACGAGCCACTTATCTGACAAACTTGTGGGAATGGGGGAAGTAGGAAAACTGCTAAGGGTGACAAAATTTTGGAGAACCATGATCGTCACTGTCTTAAAGCAATGTGGTACATAAAGAATGTATAAAATATTCCAGATAAGTAAATTTTGTTCTTTGTTTTTGTATGTCATGTTTATTCATCAAAATTTTAATGATTCAAATTAATGTTTGTAAACATGAAATTAAAACAAGTGACCTTATTAAATATCTCCAATATCATTTGCAAGAATCTACAAAAATTTGTTTTCTCTTTTATAAGAATGAACTATCTGTCACGGCTTACTTTCCTCGGGATATATGGTACAATTTCTACACAGGTAAAACTGTACCATCTACATCTGGTTACCATGTCCTTGAAGCACCTCTTGATGTCATAAATATTCATCTTCGTGGGGGATACATTCTCCCTCTTCAAGATCCTGAGCTCACAACATTTCGCAGGTAACAGAACAGCAAACATATACAAAAAATAAATAAATAAATCTTTATTTTTTTTCTGTTTTAAAATTGATCTATATGGGCTGTCTAGAATGTATTCAGCCATATTGAATATGTCGTGATGTAACTTGGCAAACAACTTGTGGGGACCTTTCTACACTTGTGTGAACAGACACTTTCTTATGGGATTACGAAATTGGCAGTGAAGTTATATTGAATGAACTTGTGTACTGTGTGACCATCATATTTATAATGATGGAATGAACAGATTCCTTACATCTTGCATTGCATTTTTTTGCGAGATATTTCATCATCCATGTCTGTCAGCTCCCTTAGTGTCTAAGATTTAGATCTCTGCAACTTTTAGCATTTACCAAAACTAAAATCACTGTTGAGAGAGGAGAATATATATATTCAGAATATATCATATATAGGTATATGTCATAGGTATATATCATATATATCATATATACATATATATCATATATAGGTATATATCATATATATCCTATATATGTATATATTGTAGGAATCCTTCTACTTGGTTTTTCGTTGAATGTTCAAATTTTGAGTGTCGGGATTCAATACATTAACAAAATATCGTTACAGGGTCGCTCGTAATTTGGCCGTCTAGAATAATCAAACGCTTTTCATTGAAGGAATAAAATTCAGTAGAAAAGACGACATAGTTTCAACAAATAAACATTAATTTAATATAACGATAGGAATACAAAAAGTTGATAATAGATTGGAAAGTAATGTATTTTGTTTGGGTTGATAAAGTTCTGAAATAAAATATAAACTGTCTTTGTGTACGTGTGTGAGAAACAAAATGTTGTGATATGTGTGTTTGTATGAAAAAGTCAACATGTGTGTGCGTGGTTCATAATAAAAATTGTTTCTTACTGTTGGCGGTGTTGCCGTGGTCTGGAGTTTGTCAACGCTGTCGTTTTTAACATGAGGTCATGAAGGTCATCAGCGAGAGATGTGTGTAGCTTGCTAGCAGCCGCGTGTATATTGTTTTGGGAACGGATTTCGTATGTTTTTATACACTTTTTCCGAACAATATCGGCTCCAGAATTGAATTATTTATGTATTCCTAATTGGCCCTAAGAAGTCACGTGGTATGTCTTCTACTACGTCCGTACGATATTTGGTTGGTATCTACCTAAAAATAATGATGAGTAATACAACAAACATTCTGATTTGTAATCTATGATTTTATTGGTGTGTTTTAAGATGTAAGTGTTTTCTTGAGTGTGATTGGTTTAAATATTGTATTTGATATTTTAGTGGACACGACAAAATGCCCCCTCTAGATCATTAGAAATTTATTTATAATGATATGTAGGAAACAATTATTTAATATCTCAGATATGTTTTGTAATGTTTTGGCCAATGCACGTGTCTCCCAGATCTTGTTGTAACATTCTTCTCTGCTATTGTCTCTGGTGAGGTGTCATTTGTTTTGTTGGATGTTTGTTCATCCGTCTTTTGTGTGATATTTGAGCCTGAATGCTCATGTTTTTCTTTTTGTAGTTGCTGTGAGAATTGGTTATCGACATAAGCCGGTTTAATCCGATCGATAGCAATATTGTCATGTTTTCCATTTTTCATGATGGTGAAATACTCCTTTCTGTTAATAACTTGGTATGGACCTGAGTAGTTTGAACATAAAGGTTTTTTTATACCGTCATTTCTTATAAATATATATATATATATGCAAGTGTAAATTTTAGATTTTATTGGTGTGATTGGTTTATAAATATTGTATTTGATATTTTAGTGGACACGACAATATCATATATAGGTTTATATCATATATTGCATTGGATTTCTTTAATTTCCATAATTTTTAACCTTTTTAGAGTTTGCATATGATTGGAAGTTAATAGCTGCCATGGCTAGCACTTGAATAAGTTTTAGAATGTAGAACAGCAATTCTGATTCTTTTATTGATTGTCATGTTATTATTAAAATACACCTTTAAGTGCTGAATCTAGATGCGTCGTCAGTGTTGTTGCTCCCATGTCACTAGAAGTTTTGGGTCTAAATAAACAACAGACTTCTTCGATGGGCGACCCGACCAAATATGATCAGTATTCGGCCCACACCTAGAACAAAAATTTGCCACTAGCTTTAGGACGTGAATTATATAAGTTGCCCCAGTAGACAACAACCAATCTAGACTTCGCTTGGGCTATTCGAAGTTATAAATTAGGTAAGCATAGTTGTATAGATCTTCCTACATGTGGCCAAGAATGGGTGTTTTTTTGGAAGAATAGAAGAAAACAAACCAATAAATATACACATACACACACACAAAAACAAAAAAAAACAAACGATTTATTATATTGGCTCGTCTTGCGACTTGTTCTTTCTCTACCTCCCCTTTTATTTAACTAACTTATTTTGTTTGGTCTTTCTTTTCTTTTTACTTTTTTATTTTTATTTTCTTTTCTAAACTACACTTAATAAAACGTTTACAAAAGAGTGATTAAAATGACAGACTATTTACAACTTTAAAAACTAAGAGAAAAACATTTAACTAAAATCGCTTAAAAATAAATTAATCAAGCTATACATGTCAAATACTAGTTAAAAAAAAAAACGTGTAAACTGTAAATTTTAAATAAGTTCCCCCCCCCTAAAAAAAAATTATCCTTACTGGAAAGAATTCGTTTAAAAACTAAGAGAAATAACTAAAATTCCTCAAAATAAATGATCGAGATATTTACATGTTGAAAAATAGTTGAAAGAAAAAATAGCGTGTAAATTTAGCTAAAATAAGTTGACTCCTAAAAAAAAAAAAAAAAAAATTATCCATGAAGGAAACCAAAAAAAAAAAAAAATTAAAATTCCGTTTTAAAAAAAAAAAAAAAAAAAAAGGAAAAGATTACTTGTAAGAATGTTTTTTGTAATAAAATAAATCTACTCAGAAGACCAGTAAGAAGTCATTGCATATGAGACTGAAAGCAAATCGAAAAGATTGATTCTCGCAAGTTTCTCGTCATCTGTATACACAAATTTCACACATATATATATATATATATATATATATATATATATATATATATATACTAATCAGTCTTAAATGTAATTAGTGCTTGCATTTATGGCGTGTGTACATCTGCATTGGGAATGTTCTTATTTTTTGGGCCACTCATTAGCTCTATTTATCCACAACCACCTGGTGGCCTTTTCGACGGACTCCAGAATTATTTGAATCGCCCGCCTTCTTTTTTGTCCAGTTATCCCTAGGCAGGTAAGGGCTCGTATCATTGACTGTCCAGCAACCCCCCTACAGCCGATCTCGACACGGAAACAATGAGTGTGCCATCCTTTAGTTCTGCAGTCATTTAAGAGTCCTTCATATTTACTATACTTTCTCTCAAATGCCTCTTGCATATGCTCTTCCCATGGGACAGTTAACTCCAGCAAAATAATCTGTTTTGTGGTGTCCGAATAAACGATTATGTCTGGACGGAGTTTGGAGGACGATATGTGTTGGGAATTTTAATTGTTTCCCGAGATCGACTCGCATTTGCCAATCTGACGCGGACGATAACAGTGAATGGGATCCTGCAACCTTCTTACTCGGCTTTGCACCTGCTTTAACGAAGCAGATAGCTCTTCTTTCTGGGATGAGTTTATTACTCTGTAAAGCTTCAGTAATAATGAGTGCTATCGCCTCTAAAACCTTGTCATGACGCCACCAATAGCGCCCGTCTGTCAGAGCTGTTCTGCACCTGCTTAATATGTGTTGCAATGATCCCCGCCCTGAACACAAGGGGCACTTTGGAGAATCTATTTTTCCTCATAGGTGTAGGTTGGTCACGCTTGGTAATACGTCGTACACCATCTGAACCAGGAATCTAGATTGGCTGAAGTCGGTATTCCAAAGATCTGACCACGACACTTTCTGCCGATCTACACCATCCCACCTGGTCCATGCGCCCTGCTGACTATAACCTGCCATTTTTGTCATCCGCTTTTCCTCCATCCCTGCTCTTACTTCGTCCTGTATCAGGTGTTGACGCTTCTTCACGGTGCTTTTTCCGAATTTGTAGGAGGGAATCAACCCCAGGCCTGCTCTTCTCTGTGCGACTGAACCCATGATTGCTTTTACCCTCAGATTCCCTTCTGCCATAGCTAGTTCCTTAGTAGCACTCCATTTTCTGCCAGTCTTGATCTCAATTCCCGCACCTTATACTTTGGGATCTCTGGAGTTTTTATAATGGTAGCTTTCCCTTGTCCGTGACACCATGAACTCCTCAACTAGTCCTCTGAATGGCAGCTGGATGGCATTGGATGATCCATATGAGGCTGCGCTGCTTAAGCACCGAGGTAATCCTAACCATCTACGGAGGAAACTGCTAGCTCTTCTCTCTAAAGTCTCCACAGTCAAGATGGGAACGCTATATGTCTGGAGTGGCCATAATGCTCATGGGAGCACACAGTGATAGTATAGCCAGGTTTTGAAGCGCCCTGGCAATCCCGATTTATCTATTTTCGCCAGCCACAAGTCAAAATCAGTACGTATAGCTTCGATAGCTGGTGTGTTCTTCAGAGCATTACAAAAGGATTTACCTAGACTTGTAACAGGCTTATCGGCCAACGTCGGGATGGCTCTCCCTTCTATTGTGAAATAGTGTTTTACCACTCGGCCCATGTAATCTAACTGGTTCTTTATGTTACCTTTTGGGCTTTTCCATATCCACAAACATCTTGGGTGCTCTTGAAATAAAGGGTTGGTTATAATTTGGTTGCATGATGTGTATCATTAGACCCATTTTTATCCACATTCATTATAGGATTCTCGTCTGTATATGCCAAATATTTTATAGTCTCATTCCTTATTTTAGCATTTAAATTTCATATGGTGATGATTATTTCTTGCAATTTTTGATTATTATCCAGTGTGCTACAGAACTTATGAATTTCTCCTTTCTTTACTTAAGTTAAAATGAGAGTTAATAATAGTTTAAGTAATACATTATTGCATAAAAGTTCAAGATGAAAGAAGTTGTAGCAGACCATGTTTTTTTTTACATGTTGTGATATGAACACATCTCCTGAAATAAAGTCCACTACAAACATGGCGGACTCGAGATGAATCCACCCAAAAGAAATGTAAAAGAAAACAACTAAGAACTGATATATATGTACAAATAATTATATGTTTATTAACAAACAGATATAAATTACAAAAACAATAATGTGTATGTGTAACAAATAATTGTGTAAAGTTTGTGTTCCAAGAAATGTGTGAGTGAATGTTTGTACATACATGTGTGTGCATGTGTGTATGTGTATGTGTATGTATCATGGCATATTCCCACAAGTGGGATAGCGTATCTTCTACAAGAGCTTACATGTTCGTAGTTCACGGAAAATGAAAGAAAGAGAGAAAGGGTTTTCTCAAATATTTATAGTTTAGGGATAGCTCCACCAAGTGGTGGTGTCAGAATTTAAGAGGAGATAACTCTGACAAAGTATGAGTTAAAAATTAATACTGTAAAAAATATTTATCTAATTATTTTTTTATAGTTTAATTTTATAATTTATTTTAAAAATAGTTTAAAAATTGAACAAATTTTTAATAATTAAAGTTTATTTAGTATTACTCAACAAAATTAATTCTTGTCATACGTCTGATTTTTGCTTTTACAGCCGTAAAAATTCATTCACCCTCCTTGTAGCTCTGAATATCAAGAGTAAGGCCAGAGGAGAAATTTATTGGGATGATGGTGACTCATTAGGTAAGTAATTAAATATAACCACAATAATTATTTTAAACACTCAAATACCTTCTGTGATTGCAATTATTAATTATGCTGAAGGTTATGAATATGAAGTATTTTAAACAAATTAATGTCAATTTATGCCATTAATTTGCTAAAGTTTTTTTAAATATAAATACTAGATGCTTATGTAACCTGTGATATCATAGGTAGGATTTATTGAAACAGTTATAACATTATTATTGTACATTACAAAAGAGAACATGACTGAAATCTCTCATATCTAACATTACATGTTATTTAACTCTGGCCAGAAAGTGTGTGGCTTTGGAGCCTTCTCTGAATGGGGACTATATTCTCACTAGGATGTGAGAAACCATCTTCCCTCTAGAGTAGGTATTTATATATCTACCAGTCATACAGGGTTCGCCATGTGTGCACACCCGGCCAACCTTTCAATTCATCTGAATTCTCTGAAGGACACAGAGTGGAAAGATTATTCTGGCATCATGTGAAGTGAGTTGCACACTACAACATTAAATCTTTCTTTTGCTTTAATAATGACATACAGAGTGACACAGGGGGAATAGTGGGGAATTTTTAGGGGAAACAGTAATCATAACTGTATTTTAACATCAACTTCATTTAACCCCAGAAAAAGAATAATTACACAAAAATTACTGCTAGCAGTCAGATAGACAATTGAAATTTTGGAGGTACTTGATGAGAAAAGAAGGCTTGGAGAATTCAACACTCACAGGGCATATTGAATGCAAGATAATCAGAAGAAAGCAGTGAAGTTTGAGAAAATGGATGGGGGAATAAGTACTACAAATACAAAGAAAGTTCATAATGCTGAAATCAATAAAAAAACAGGACGCTGTGGAGAGCCATGATCCTTCATGACTTGAAGGGACATAGCACATAAGAAGAGATACTACATAGTCCAGATTTTGGCTTTCCATATTGCAGTCCACTGACTTTAACACTACTCTACCACTGCCCTATGTCACCTGATTCAGTTTTTTTCTGCAGTAAAAACTAAATGTTTCTGGTGGATGGGAATAACTTCTTGTATTGAAAATCACAAAGAAAAAGATTGTCAGGTATCAGGAATTAATGCAAGCACCACTAACAAAACAGAAATCTTATGTAGTTGAAGGTATTAAAAAATCCCTTCAAGTTTTGAATTAAACTTCTTTTATGTTGGAATGCATAACTGGCTGCATAAAGTCATAGAAAGCCATAAAAAAATACATAAAATGATGGAAACTTTTACATTAACACATTATTATTTTGTCCTTCCCAAAACATTTTTTATTTATTTCAGATTCAGTAACGAACAATAAAAATAATTTAATATCCTTTCATGCTGAAAAGGTAAGTCCAATCAGATTTTGATAGCCTTTTTTATTTCATTGCTTATCTTAAATGGTGGTAATATTAACAATTATATAATATAATATAATATATATATATATATATATATATATATATATATATATATATATATATAAATACCAAATACCAGACTTTTTAGTCCATATGAGAGCTCAATGTATGTTACAAGGCAAATTGTAATAATAATTAGGAAAAATCCTTAAAAGTCCGTTTTCAGTAATCAATTTATTTTGATGAATATAGGTATATTCATCTCATCAGACTGACTACAACTACTACTATATATATATATATATATATAGTTGTAGAGTGGATAAATGAAACAGCCAAATATAAGCAGGGATGTGCGCGTGTGCTAGTGTGCATACACAGGCAAGCAAATAAATAATCGTAAAATATAGACCCTGTGCCTGATGAACTGGGAACACCACCCAGCAAAACTTTTGTTGCATGCCAAATGTAGGTATGCACATAGGTACTAATTAATATATATATATATATATATATATATATATATATATATATATATATATATGATGAAAATATAGTTTTAAGCTATTGTAACACTGAGGCCATGAAGTGGTTAAATGTTAATGATGAGCTGGAAAGGGCTAAGCCTAAAATGGAATATAAGCTAGAAGACAGAGAAAGAGTGCCTATTTTCCTTAGTGGAAAGGGGCCATCTGGTTTTCTTCTCCACTAAATTTTTTTTTTAACTATCGAGAATCTGGCATGGGGTAAAACAAATTGAGAAGTAAATTTAACTCTTCTTTGAAAATTTAAGCAAACAAATATTGTTAGTAGGAGAGAGATAGATCTGGACTATGTTTTTGTGGATGAAAACAAATTAAGAAATAATTTTGTCTCTTGCTTGGAAATTTAAAATGAGAACAAACTTTTTTCTTGAGGGTCAAATGTACGATGAGGGAAGTTATGAAAACAAGTCCTGTCAACAGTGATCAGGTTTATATTTTCATAGGACAGCGATAAGTCTAGCAATTGGGAAATAATTTTATCTCTTCCTTGAGAAATTAAGAAAGCACATATCATTAACAAGGAGGGAGACAGATGGGGACTTATATTTTCACTTATGAAAACAAATTGGGAAATTTTAGGTAATTTAAATAAAGAACAAACCCCTTTTGAAGTTTGAAGTTATGAAAACAAGTCATCCTGTCATTGATGAACAAAGGATATGCCCAAGGTTTCCACTCGGTTAGTGGTGGGTTCTCATGCAGGCACAAATAAACACAGATAAGGAGAAATAACCAATAGGAAGATTCAGCATTGTGATGATCATTGTGACTCCAATTTAATAATTGGACGAAACACACATACTCTTGTCTTTGGTGATTAACATGTTTAGTAATTCACCATTGTATTTGGTCTAGGACTATTTGGCCTATCAAATATATGTCCACATGTGGCATAGTGTATGTGAGCTAGGACTTGGCTTTGGTTTCTTCATTATGCAATCTCTTTTAGTTGACAAAAACAAAAAAAAAGGGTGTTGATTGCTCAAACTCTGCAGTCCAACTGATTCTTCAGATATTTTTACTGCTCAACTTTTCATATTAGACCATGTGATTCCGAATGTGGAGAAGGAAGGAGGAAAGGGAAGGAATTTAGCATCACTTGTGTGGAGTGATCATATGAGATGTAAAGTGAAGCAAGTTGGAGATGAAGAGAGGAGCAATCTCTGTAAGTACTCCTAAGAATGTGGATAATTTTCCAAATTTGGAAAGTTGATTAAGAAAGCAGAAATAGAGAACAAAGAACCCTTGTTGAGATTAATGAGAAAATTGAGGAATCACCATATCCCAAGAACCCTTTAGCCCCCACATTGTGTGCCTCTGGAATCCATGTCAGCTGCCCCTAGATCTCCTGATTCTGAAGAACTTTGAACCCCAAATTTTAGGTGAGGTACAGTGTCACTATAGAAATTGATGCAGGAAGGGTTAATTTTTGTTGTACCAAGAACTATATTAACCAATTGAAGATTAACCCAATGATTCTTTTATTTTTATTTTTCATTGTGGGGATATTTCTTCCCTTGATACAGCACCTGCCATGGGTCAAACCAGTGCTTTGATTACTATGACATTTGATCTCCCACTGCTCTGAGATCAAGAAATCAACATGGGCAGAGTTGGTGTGGATCAAAACAACCAGCAACCAGCTTGGACCAGTGTTAGTATTGACTAGCACAGAGTTTGTTAAATTTAATTTAAATTGTCATCCTAAAACCCTGAAACCAGACCACTAAACATGGTTACACCACTGGGTGTAAAAAGAGTTATACTATATTTATGGGTTAAGTGCTCAATATCAGGGACAAAGTGTATGTAAATATAAAAGATAAATATCTGTCTATATTTCTGAGATGAGGTATTATGTACACTATTTACATTATTTGGACTATTGTCACACTCTTTGGGTCCTGTCACTGGATCTAATGCCTTTATCCACTGTGCCATGTGTCCTTGAGGACATCTGTGTATGAATTTCTGGGTATTATAAACCTAATATCTTCAGCAACCATTTTTACCAGAGCTCATATTGCAATTTTTGTTGTTATTACCACTTTTCTCTGGCACTCCTTATTACTGGTAAAAATGGTTGCTGAAGACATTAGGTTTATAATACCCATAAATTCATACACAGATGTCCTCAAGATGGCACAGTGGATAAAGGCGTTAGTTAAATCCAGTGACAGGACCCAAAGGCAGTGGTGAACTTGGAGAGGGGAATTAATAGGAGATAACTGACATCCATTAAATATGGCACATGGAACTAGAACAGTCTAGAACAGTGGGTTCAGTTTGACATTCCAACCACTTGAAGAAGGCTGAAGCATACAACGGTTGAAACGTAATAAATATGGCAACAAAAATGAGGACAATAGTCCAAATAATGTAAAAAGATAAATACTAAATAATGAGTAAAAAAGTGAACAACCAACACTATAAAATAGCTATAAATAACTATATTTGGATCCACAATTATCTTTACTTAATAGCCTCCATTAGGATAATACAAAAGACTTTCTACTCATATAAATAGCCGAGCCAAAACACAGCACATGTGGCCTGAAGATAGTATTTAAGTAGGAAACAGACTGTCACCTTGTTGACTTCAATGTCCACTTATATATATATATATATATATATATATATATATATAAATTTATTTTAGTATATTATATTGAAAACATGTCAAAATCACTACACAATTGCAGTCATGTTTCAATGTATATCAATGCATCTCATCAGGTGATTGTAAATTACTGGTGAGTGAAGGATTTATTTAGATTTAAAACCAAAATACAACCTCTTTTTATAAAAAAATAAAAAAGGGGGAGTTATAAGTTTTGTGGACTTTACTCTGATCAACCAATCAAATATGTTAAGTTTAAACTAAGCAAAGAAGCAAAAATTAAAAAATATTTTTTATAAATGGGTCATGACCTGTAGATTGGCAGCTAATGGCAGCACAGACATTGAACAGGAGTGGATGTTAATGGATACATAAATTATACACATTATACAATGATATTTCCTAAGAAATAAAAGTGGGGTGTAGTGGTAATTCAGCAAAATGCTAAACAAGTTATATGCTTTGTGAGTTTCATACAGAAAAAATTTTTATAACTTTTTTTAAGAAAATAATGTAAATAATTTAAATGTATAGAATTATTTGGTAAATTAATATCCAACTGTTGAATAAAGATTCATCATATAAGATGTTAATAACAATAACCAATCAACATAAAATGTCAAAAATAGCAACCAACTACCAATACTTCCATACAAGATAGTACTAATACTACCAGGAGACTAATACAAAATTATATTAAATCCCAAAAAAAGCATAATCAAATTTCAAAATTTAACTAAATTGTAAGGTAGAAGGTAAACTATGTTTACAATTTATTGTTAATTCATTCCTTAGATTTAATAAAAAATTTTTATTAAATCTGATAATTTCCAGTTTTTCATGAAAAGCACAGAAAACAGGATTCATATAAAGATCTACATGTCCTTGCCATTTTTAAAATTTTCCATTTCACCATAGGAGTCTTATTATCATCTTTTAAACTCCAAAAATATTTAGAAAGTGATGTATTATTTCTGTAACTACTTCAGTGAAGGACAAGGTGTGTTGATACTGTTTAAGATTTACTATATTGGGTAAGAATGATCAATATTAATAATATAGTGTTTATAGGTATAGACAGTGTGAACACAGGAATCAGCATTGCATGGTAATTGTCAGTTTCACACCTCAGTGTAGTCTTTGGGAACATGTGTACATGATGAAACTGACAGTCACCATGCAATGTTGATTTCTATGTCGACATTCTCCCTCTCTTCATATAACATATTTGTGTGCATAGAAAGAGAGATGCACTCACAGATGAGGTCTACCTGGAAGATATTCAACCATTTTGAATTTATCAAGAAGTTATTGTTGCTTGCACTTGATGCAACCTGGCACCCACTCAGACTTACTACATATATGTGAACAGTCACTCTCTCATTGAATTAATCAGTTGTCAGTGAGATGCTATTGAATGAGCTTGTGTACTGTGTGATTGTTACATTCACAATAACTGAACAAGTAGATATTTCATGTCTTGTGCAGCTTTATTTTATTTTATTTATTTATTTTTTGGAGTTGGGCAAACATTATGCCACCCAAGGCCTGTCAGTTCCCCTATAGTTCAGATTTGACTCCCTGCAATCTCTGGTTTTTCTCAAACATAAAATAACTGTTAAAAGATTGTGCATGAGATTAAAGAGACTGTGATGCTGATCTTGATAAAACAGTTTGCAGACTCTTTTGAAAAGTAGAAGGGGTGATTGGTTAAGGGTGTGATATCCCAAATAGAGGGGTTTGAAGGGGACAAAGGTATCGTTGCTCGAGTCGGGATACTTTATTTTTCTTAACATTAAGTGGCTGGATAATTTTCAAACAAACTTTATATGCTTTATGTGAATGTGTAGTGGTGGTGGTGGGGTGTTAGGTGGCCTAAAAAAATTTGTGAAATTTTTAATGTTCACTTTTTTTTATCACTTTTAAAAAAGAGGGCAACTCTTTGACTAACAATAGCTCATAAGCAATTTCAGTGAGATGAAACCTACTCACATTATTTAGTGCTTTGTGACCCATGCTATCTTATCAACATTTGCTTTTATTCTATCTACATTTATATACATTACAAATTAAACTAAGCACAAATCACTATTAAAGAATGAAAAATGTTTGGATTTTGATGTCATTGTGGGGTGGGGTGTCTAGATTTGTGAATTTGTTTTGCTCATGCTAAGTCTTGAAAAAACACTATAGAAAATTCATTATTTTTAATCCATAATGTTGAATGTGTTAAAATTATTCAATTTTTTAACAAGAAAAATCTCAAGTTGATATTAAACACATTGTTGATTTATTTAAGATGGAATGATCTATTATGACATGTATCAAATTTGTATTATTTATTTTCAATTTTTCTAGTTGAATTGTTCATCTATATTGCATATGATCTATTATTACACTTAATTAGGTTACAATAAAATTTGTATTTTATATGAATACTACCTTATGACAATTGTGATGTAATAGAGCGGGAGTGCCTGTATCCTAGATTCGGGGTGGGGGGAGTCATGGGCATCATTGCATGGCACTGGCTGTTAATTTGTTAAGCGAGTATGACAATCACTAACAAATTTGATCCATGGTTTTAGTTTTTGTAAGAACAAAAATGTCTCTTGAAGCCAGCAAGTGACTTGCAATGCTTATTGCAGAAGCAGTAAACTAAGTTGTTTTGTACAGGGTCTGGCCTATTTTATAAATTCTGTTCAGGTTTTTTGTGGATAAGACCTGAGCAATTTCTGTAGGTCTTCTGTAATATTATCTATGTTAAGTTATTCCCAGCACTGTATTATAAATTGCAAGAGGTCTATCAATATGACTCTTCTTGTCGGTAATGAAGCCTGCATTAGAGAGACATTGTAATCACATATGTGATGGAAGTCGACTCACAAGATTGTAAGACCAATGCCCAAGAGCTCCTAACTCACCAACAAGCATTTCAAGGATGATTTACATGCTGTTGATTAAAGCCATTTCTATCTTGTTGATTAAAATCACACACATGAGGTGCTGAAAAGTTCTTGGCTAGATCAACTTACCAAACATCAGAACTTTTTCATCCCCCATCATATATATTTCTCCATATATATGTAGAGAGAGAGAGAGAGAGAGAGAGATCATTAGATATAAATAGTGTTGTTTTCTGTGTCCACACTGTTTATATGTACAAAAACTCTATTCTTAATATTGAACACTCCCTCCCCCATAAATATAACGAAATTAAATAAAATAAATAATGTATATGTTTATGATAAATAGAAGAATATATTTATAATTATTACCAGCATTTTTCACCTTTCATTGAAACAGATTGGTTTTTTAAGTGCAAATAAAAAATTTCTGCCAAAGAATATTAGGAAATATGAAAAATTGCTTTGACAATTGAATTTAAAATTGTTGATTTTTAAGGAAAATGATCATTAAGAGAAGGAAAACTTATTTAGAGCATACAGCTAATGTTGTGTCTTTTTTATTATTTTATCTTATTATTTTTAGTTAATTTCATTGAGTTTTAAGTGATATATTTTATATCTAATAAGATTTTTAATAATTTGCCTCATTGTTATAATTGTTTTTATATCAGGATTTTGTGAAGAATGAAGTCATTCATAAAAACTATTTATTGGAGCCCATGATTCTAAGCAATGTGACAGTATTTGGACTTCAAGCAAAACCAAAAGTCGTGTTCTTCAATAGACATCCAGTGTTTTTCTCTTATAAAAACGAAACAAAGGTAAATTTTTATTTTTTCCTTTACTCTTATTTTTATTGACTGTTTCTAGAATAAAAATTTGCATTGTTCATTATCATTAGAAATGATGTTGCGCTTAAGCACTATAAAAAGAAAAATATATATGTTATAATGAGCGTTTGGTTGCAAAGGAAAGGAACAAAAAAGGATTAAGATTTCAATGTGTATTGGTCAGAATTCAGAATATGCACATAGTTGTATGAAAGTTGGCAAAAAATTATTCATATGTGGTTCCTTACTTACTGTTGGTAAGGAGAGTGATTGGCATAAGGGTGTTCTAGGTAGGGAGTTGACTGATTTCTTGGGTTGGTTGGCCAAGGTCACAGATGATGTCAGGAGAGAGGCCAGTTGTGAGGTGTCAGATAATCTGGCCAAAGTGTTGAATCTGATGGCGATGAGTACCACTTTTATATCTTTGTTTTAATATGTGCAGACCCCCAGGGACATCCTTTTTTGTTTTTGGAGAGAATATTTGTAATTGGCTATTGCATTTCTGGATTTTTGTGGCGATTTGTTTTGTGAGCCAGATGTGATGCTCGAAGCTCCTTCATGGAAGACTACTTTTTTATTTGGGGTTTTGCTTTCTTAGTGCTCACATCCATGTGAAATGTATTTGTGAATCAAAAAGAGATCTACCTATCTATCTGTATATGTGTATATATATATATATATATATATATATATATATATATATAAAATCCAAACTAAAAAAGAAGAAAAATTGAAAAGACATAGCAGTAAATAGCAGTGCTCAATGCCTAGGCTATCTAGACAGGAAAAAAACACTTCACAGCATCAACCCTCAATGATGCACAGCTGAAGGTGCTACTTAAGTTTTAGGCTCTTACGATCTTCAGGTGGCTAGAACATAAAAAATAAAGAGGGTTTTTGGTGGGATATATGATCACTGCCATTAAAATTAAATATTAACAATTATAATGGAATTTGGTTTGACAAGTATTAGTGGGAGCATGGTGGAGTAATAGATAGTGGCTCAGACTCTCAAATTGGAGAGCCAAGTTCAGGTTCATTAGATTCAATTACCCTTGGGATTCTAATACCCTTGGGAAAGGTATGAATCCATCTCTCCATCTCTTCTCCCCACCCCAGCTATAAGTAAATAGGATGTGCTGGGTTTTCTAATCTTGGGTGGCAATTTGTCTAAGAGAACAACAACTCTGAATTCAAAACCTGAGGGCCTAGTGTATGGACTGAGGGTTTCCCACAACATATTTCAGGATCTTTGTGTGTTAGTCAAGAGCTTAGAAAGGAGATGGGCACTGCCAAGCCTACTGAAAGGATCATGAAGTTCAAGAAGAACTAAAGTCTGTTTCTTCTGCCTTCAGGTCTCCCTGATGATTGAAACAGTCAAGAGACTGATGATGATGTTAATGTTGAAGTATTAATGATCTCGGGCATCTGGCTAAATATGAAACTAACTTAACACATAAAAACCTTTAGAATACAATTCTTAGTCATATTAATTCATGAAGCAATGTATACTGCAGTTGGCAGTTTATAATTATTGTCCAATCAATGTTTAGATTTAATATTAGAGTTATTTAACTATAATCTTCTTTTTTTTTTTCTCCTTCTCTTTTTATTTTTCCTCTTTTGACATTATTTGGCTCTACTTCTCTTGTTCTCTTATTAATCTTTTTCACTCATTTTTGTTTTTTTTTTTTAATTTAATTTGCCTTTTCCTTTCTTTCAAGGATTCAACTGTGAAAATAAACTGTTTTTAAAAATCTTCAATATTTTCTTTTTCTTTTGTAGGTTTTGTATGTGACCAAACTGAAAGCAAACCTTCTTGACCCTTTCCAGTTAACTTGGTCTTTGGGATAAAACAGTGGTTAACAATAGGAAAATTTATCCAACTGTTTTCTTTTATATAATAAATTTCCATACACATTATATACTAGGAATGTATGAATTAAATTTTGTAAATATGGATATTATCAAAACCAATTGAAATAATCATACAATTTGAATAAGAACTCTTCTAATATATACACATACACACGCACATCAAGCTCAGTAAAAACTAAATCATATATTGTGTGAATCTATTGAAGGGAACCTACTTGATATAACATTCAGCCATCAAAATCCTGGGTTACTTATTGACTAAAGCACCAATAAAATATAAACAAATATCTAATTATCACAGCCATTACAGCACACACATACACACATACACATAAATATAATATATTGCGAATATAGTGCTAGTGTTAATAAAACAGTGTTCAATGTAATGAAACAGTTATTAAGTATATATTAATAAATATACATATATATTTATTATATATATATATATATATATATATATATATATATATATATAGATAGATAGATTCATTGAGTCTACAAGAATTCTCAACAGAATGCAGAAAGCTCTGGACAGCTGTTTCATCCTATTTTGGAACTCATCAGCAGTGTGCATCCACTACTGAGAATTGAACCCTGACTGTTACAATACAACGCAAGCATCATACCAACTGAACCAACAGGTCTCAGTGACGAAGAGGTAACTTAACAAGACTCGATATAGTACAGCTCTTCACAAATGCCCCTAATTTCTATCACTTATATAGTATATTATAGTATGTACCAGAATTTCTAGTTCTTTTTCCGGTTGGAAAAGCCTTTTGGGCAGGTTGGTTTTTGTCATAAAGTGCTTGATATCAAAAGTTAGGAAAATTAATAGAATTAATTTGTAGAAGTTTATCACTTAGCTAAGTGCTCTTGGTTCAGTCATGCCTACTACATAGGTTTGTGAGCACATCAAGATAACATGTTCACTCTTCAGCAGAGAAGACAAGCCCTGAAGAGTAAACATGTTATTTTGATGTGCTCACAAACCTATGTAGTAGGCATGACTGAACCAAGAGCACTTAGCTAAGTGATAAACTTCTACAAATTAATTTTATTATATATATATATATATATATATATATATATATATATATAAAGAAATATAGTCTTAAGGTGTGCTATATTTATGGAATAAAGTGCTCAATATCAGAGATAGAGTGTGTGTAAATATAAAAGTGAACATAGAAGTCAACACTTAGAGGCGACAGTCTGTTTCATGCTATTATGCAATCATCAGGCCACATATGCTGTTATTTTTCTTGGCTATTTATATATATATACGGGTTAGTGGTGCATTGTGGGTATTCTGTTATGGCGGTTATTTTACCGGAAGTCATTTGTTTATTTATTTGGGTCAAATTATATTGCTCGTTTTTATTTTTGTTTCTTATTTTATTTATTTATTTATTTATTAACATAGTAAAAAATTTGTTTATATCACTTATTTAACAGTTTTGTTTTGGTTTGAGAATTTAATTAAAGCTATTTGTTCAATTTTGGGGTTGGTTGTTGTAGTTCATTCTAACTATCATTTTGGCGGGAACAGTTTTTAATTTGGGATTGGTTTGTCTCTTTATTTACTTGGATGAATTTAGGTCAATTTATTTTACTTGTATATTTTCTCTTTTTGGTTTTCGGTTTTAAGCAACATAGTATTTATTTATTTTTATTTCTATTTTTTATTAGTGTATTTATTTGTTTTTATTTTATTTTTTCCGTTTTTCATTTTTTAGGTTACGTAGTAAAAATTTATTTTCAAGCCTGCATTTTGAGATGAGCTCGGATCTTTTATTTAATAATTTATTAAGTAATTATTAGTAAAATAACTGCCATAATAGAATACCCACAATGCACCACTAACCCGTATATATATAAATAGCCAAGAAAATAACAGCATATGTGGCCTGACGATTGCATATAGCATGAAACAGACTGTCGCCTCTAAGTGTTGACTTCTTTGTTCACTTTTTATATATATATATATATATATATATATATACTCAGGGTGAACCAAAAGTAGGTGTACAGTAGGTTGAATAGAGTTTGTGTTAGGATTATATTATATCTATGGTGTTTGTATTTTGTTATTATATTTTATAACCAAATTTATTTAAATTTGATCTTCATGACTTTATTCCAATGGATTTTTTGGGGGGTGGGGGAGTACTCAAGGACAAAGTTTATAGTTGAAAACCACAAAGTGTTGGTGATTTGAAAAATTACATCAGAGATGCATTTCAAGAAATTAATACACAAAGATACTTGTTCAAAAATGTTTGTTGAAGCATGGAAGATAGACTTCAAAGCTGTGTAAATTGTGATGGACAGCAGTTTGAGCACCAGTGGTGACAAAATTTTCAGGGATTTTGTATCATATTATTGCACATGATAAGATTTAATTGTATATGTAATAATTGTTTATCAAAATTTAATTGTATTAGTAAGTAATCTCAATAAATGTTATCATTTACTGTTCAACTATTTTTGGTTCACCCTGTATATATTGTCTAAAATTTTTTATATATATATATAGAGAAAGAGTGCTCAATATTGGAGATAAAGCATTTATAGCTATAGACAGTGTGGACATAGCAATCAACACTGCATGGTGACTGTTAGTTTCATATTTCAATGCAATCTTTTAGACTATATATATATATATATATATATATATATATATATATATATAAATAAATTGAGATATAAAAGTGAACATTGAAGTCAACACTCAGAAGCAACAGGCTGTTTCATGCTGGACGCAATTATGCGATTGCATCCAGCATGAAACAGCCTGTCGCCTCTGAGTGTTGATGTCAATGTTCACTTTTATATTTATATTTACATATGCTCTATCTCTGATATTGAGCACTTTATTCCATAAATATAGCACACCTTTAAACAATATTTCTTCATATATATATATATATATAGATAGATAGATAGATAGATAGCAACAAATAAAATTAAATATTTAACTTACTGAGCATTTAATTTTATAACAATTAATGCTCTATCTCTTGATATTAATCACTTTAATTATAAATACTGCTTATCTTAAAAATATTATCTCTCAGAAATATCTTGTTCAACATGTCTTGGTAAAACATATATGTATCAGATCTGTCCAGTAAACATCTAGTTATTTAATATTAATGAAAAATAGCAATTAAGCAATGCTATCTTAGTCCTCTTCAAAGTATTTTTATTGTGTCATCATGTATTTATCTTCCACTTTTCAAAAAAAACACTTCTTAATCTCATCCATGGTCTGAAAAGACCTTTTCGAAAGCAATTTTAGTTTTCGGAAAAAAACAGATATTACATAGAGTTAAATTTAAATTATAGCAGAACTGATATGCCTGGGCAATACAATGTTTTGCTAAACATCCATTAAAGAAATCTTTGTGAATATGAGGGCCACACAGTACTCAAACTCACTCAGTGATTTCTCACTGTTGTCTGAAGAACTCCATGGGACAGTGTCTGTCCAATTCTGATTAGTTATCAAGTTACATTAAGGCTGCATAATTGATTCTTGTGATAAGTAACATAACTTGATACTTTCCAGACATCAAATGATGTAGTGCTCATCTTTGTGAAGGCTCTTCATGTATAGCAAATGGAAATGAGTTAAGAGGGCAAGCATTTTTTGACAGTTTTTCGTTAGGGCTACTATTTTTAGACTATATATAATTTTAATTAGAGTTTATTTTATTATATTTTATTTTTATTTATTTAAAGCTTTGTATTTAATTTAGAGTTTATTAATTTTAAGTTATGGGTAATTAGTTGTTTAGTCTTTGGAGTTACATGGTTAAATATTGTTTTGTATGAAAAGCTTCTCTTTTTTGGAGACCATTTTTATTCTAATATATATTTTCCTTTTTTTACTTTGGATCCTAAGATATATGACATTGATATGTAGTCAGTTACTATTTAGTGGTCATTTAAAAATGCAGATATGATATCAAATTCCTATTGCAATACCTATTATAATCCAATACAGGAGTAATAACCAAGACAAGTAATAACAAATACTAACTTTATTCATCCAAAAAGACATCTGTGCATGCGTGGCTTTATTTCTAGCCATTGTTCCATCTCTTGTTTATTTATACAAGTCATAACATTTCTTTCAATCTTCTCTTGTCATCTCTTAACATCCTTTTTTTCCCTCTATACATAGTCCTTAAGGTATTCCAGTCAGTTTCTAAGTGGTAAGTGTCTCTCTCTTGATTTGTAATCTTGGGTTGCTATTGGTTGCTTTGATGACACTGTCTGGTTCCATTGCAACCTCTGTTGTTTGTGAGGTCAGTGATGATGTCTCTGATGGGTCCTCTGCCTTTTCCTCCTCTCTCGTCTCTGGGGTCTGTTTACCAAGCATCTTATCTTGTGGATCAAGTCTCTCATTTGGGTGTGAGTTGATCGTTAAGTATTCTGCCAGATGATCTACCGTGTCATCCCTGGCATCGACAACCTGGTTTGCAATCTTAAAGTGGCTTGCATCCCTGCATTCCTCTCTCCCATCTGTCACATGTCTTGCATGTATTTGGGATCCTTTGATGTCATTTATGGTGTAGGAGCTTTGTTCATATAGAGTGGTCCATTTATTTCTCTTTGGTTGTTTGATTAACACATAGTCTCTGCAGATGAAGTTTTGTTTCCATGATTTCTGGTCTCTGAACTTCTCTTTGTAACTCTTTTATTTATAGCCAACAGCCAAATCATGACACCATAGACCAAACAACTAATAACCTAATTTATTATTTTAGAGTTCAGTAGTTGCTTTTAAAGAAAGTATAGTAACTTTCTTTAAAAGTAAATACCAAACTCAAAAATAATAAATAAATTGAATAAAACAAAATTAGATAAAATTTAAAAAAAAAAAAATATAATAAAATAAAAAAATAAAATAAATGAACTCAAGGTCAGCATAAATTCATTAGCCCTGAACAAAAACTGGCAAA